GAACAGAGTTCGATTCTAGCCGTACCCGGAACCAGGAATTCACTTTCACGCTTGGAATGGGGCAGGTTTGTTGAACGATTTAATTTTGTTTTTGTTTCTTGGTGATGTTTAGAAAACTAAGTTGTGTTTGGTGGTCAATTGAGAGCAGTTTTAAGATATAAGCTTGGAATACACTCAATGCTGAGATTGGGTATTTATTAGTGCTTCTCACCCAGGTTAACGAAAAATGTTCTTTTATACAGTGGAAAATGAGGGAATCTAACGAATTGGGAGAATAGAAGAACCACAGTCGACTGATTCTCATGTTATTCTTCGCATCGACTTCTATATGTACTTGCCCTCCCATTCTCTAGACGGATTCGCTTTGAGTTGCTCCTATCCTGAAAGGAATTAACACTAGGCATCCTCCAGGAAAGGAAGGTTAGTCGAGGAAGCCATTAGGAGAAGTATACCGGCTGTTGCGTCTTTAGACACTGATTTCAAATCTGCCTTCCAAATCTGCTAAACGATTCTCCGAGCAGAATTATGGAGGCTTTGAGCAGACCACTGCTCGAGACCACCAATGCTCAGCAAGTATCTAAATGATGGGTGAGTTCATTGCACACGTGCCTCGATGGCGTAGTGGAGAAGCGACCGGTCTCATGTGTGCAAGGTCAAGGGTTCGGATCCTCCCTTAAACCGTGGTTTTGCATTTACTCAGAAAATGCTCCCTGCACATCAAAAGCACTTTTGCGGGGTTAGGAGACCTGATCTTACCAAAAATGTTGTTTCTGAAGGAATGGAGCCATTCTGGAACACTCCTGAAGGATACCCTTGATTGTTGGTTTCGGCGGCATTATTCGTTGCGTTGTGTTGTGTCGCCAAACTGATTCCAAATGGCATGGAAGCCAAAAGTGAATGTCGTGTTTGTGATCAGGACCGTCAGTAACCAATAAGGACTGAGATTCAGCGGAAAAGCCCCATTGCTCCAGAGATTTTGATCGGCGATAGTGCCAGCGACCTTGAGGAATTTTTTGCCCATGGTTACCCCACTGTATCGAAAATAGGTCGAAATCTCAGATTTGGTTGAAAACTTGCCTTTATGACTAATTTGAACCCCAGAACACGAATATCACACTCGTTCGGCGTAAAAACGCTTGCCAAGGACGTTGCAGGTTCCTGCACACCCTGCCCCTCCAGAATGCGAACAAGATATTTTCACGAAAAATGACTGCAGTGTTGATTTCCAGACCACCTCTAATTCCAGATTTTAGCAAATTTGGGGGTTTTGGTGTGCCTCACATACATGCTGGAAATGGGTGTGACCTGGTCAAAATTCCTGCATAACTTTGTCCAGGGAATCGTTTAGCAGATATGGAGGGCAGATTTGTAATCAGCGTCCAAGGGCCCATCGGGCAGTATACATCTCATTTCGAATGGCCACTTCGACCAACCATCCTTTCCTTGGTCAGAAAAGGGATGTTGCCGTATGTTTTATTCTATCCTTGCTTGTTGAAAGGTTGAAATTACCCGAGACAGACGTCAAGGAAACGTGAGAGTCATAAGTTCGAATAATTATGTGAAGTGCCCTTCAATTCCTTAGGTCGCCCAAACTATGTTGGAGTCTGCATCTAGTCTTTTCATTCTTGCTAGCATTCTCGTCGCTATGCATTTCTTCAGGTGATCAAAGGATGGGATCAAGGACTTCTAAATATGTGTGTTGGTGAACGTCGAATTCTCACCATTCCGTCTCATATGGCATACGGAGAACGCGGATCGCCTCCGAAAATTCCAGGTTAGGCTTCAATAATTGGTAGTATCTGATTTCTCCCGAATCGTTGAGCAAACTTTGCTTACGTCGTTTACATTTTTTTACATCTTACATCGAAGAAGTTCCCCTTGGAGTGAATTCACGAAATTGCTCACGAAAATTCCATTTATTGGGTTGGGCCATAAGTAGTGGCGTTCTTTTTTCTGAATCGACACTTCGCAAGGTAAATCATTTCAACCGTGAATTCTATACTGCTTGATGAGAATTGCTCTTGCATTGTATGAAAAAGCGCTCAATTTTTTTTCTCTTGAGATTCTATTTCCATTAATTTGTAGATGCTAAAGTGGAGGGTCAAGTCGACTAACTTGCGCATTTTCGGCACTCTCTGCTTTTTCACTTGAATTTGAAAAATGAAAAAAATGCCAACGAACGATGTCCTTTGGGAACATAAGAAGCGTTTAGGCTATTCAAAAAGATATCAGCTTCGACCTCACGACAAGTTTAACACCTAATACCCTGTAAGTGCGACCTAGAGCTTACTGAATCAGCCTATTCATGTGGGGAAATGGTAGATGTCATGGAATGCTTCCACATTATCACTGAAATCGCATTCACTTGAAGTGAGTAGCTCAAACTTGGTGAGTGAGTTCCGCATGCACTCGCTCCTCAAGAGCGCAACCGATGCTATGTACATTTACAGGGTCCGCATTCCCCTCACTATTATTCGCTCAGCTTATGTGGTGTCAAAAAGTCTCATTTGTGTCGACCTGAGGGTCCAGTTTGATAACTAAAAATGACAAAAATTGACATGGTATGAAATAATCTGCACTTTCTTATAAGGCAGAAATTCATCTATCAAATAGCATAGTTACCCAATTTTTGGCTCCGTTTGTATGGAAGCCAATGAGTTGGGAAATCTTTTTGGCTTCCATCCAAAAATTTATGCGAAAAATAAGAGCGCTACTTATGGGCCGACCTAATGTATTAAATAGGAGCCTGGCCAAATAAATTCAAATAGCGCAATGACTTCATATTCTCTTTCTCTCTACGAAGCCTGCCTGCTCACATGAGTGTCCTTCTAGTGTTCTGCCAGCAACAGACGATGACTCGTTCTGGAAGCATGTATTGTAAACAGACCACGTCGTATGTTGGGAAAAAATCATCGAGAGGGGTCGTTTGTGGTCGCTTGGGGGGAGGGGGGAAGGGGGGGGGTCGTATTTGCTCGTCAGGAGAAGGGGGTTTCCCCCCCCCCACTTGCTGGTTCCAAAGTTCTATGCAAGTACTAAATCTGGTAATTGAATCTAGTAGTTGGTCACTGACAACCCTCCCCCACCTTCTACCCCGATCGACAGCAATTTTTTGGAAAAAAGCAAGAAAACTATCGCGAACTTCCGGAAAGACTGAAAAAAGTGGTACGAAGTAGAAGAAATCTAGGAAAAGGGTAGGTAGGATTAGATAGGATGGGGAAGGGGAGGAGGTTCGCGTCGCGTCAGGGAATTGGGCGGGGTTGTACTGCCAAAATTTCCCAAGTGGCAGGATGCCCTGATGGCAAATAACAGTCAGGAAGCAAATGGTGCGGTTGCCTCTTTGTGTGGAGCTGTGCAAAGTAGGCGTATTGCATTCCGAAAGGAAGCACTCGCTCAAAGTGACTGGATCTTACAATGGTGTACCTGCTATCTTAATTGGGAGTGGGGGTCATGGTCGTGTCAAAGGTAGCCTCTCTTCTTTTCGATGCACTTTCAAGACGACATTTGTACTTGGAACCAGTTGCCGTGTTGTTTTTCCGAACTGAACAGAGTGCACTCTTTGTGGCACAGCTCGATAGGTACTGCTCGATTTTAAATGAAATATTCTCCTTTTCAGCTAACGCTCCACTCAAATTTGACGTTGAGTTGATGAAGATTGATCGTAAAGGGGAGTTGTAAGCCCTCACCTAGAAGCTTCGTTATTCCTGAAGTGTTTGTGATTTGTAATTTAATCAGTGAGTGACTTTGGAAAAAAAACAGGCTCATGACATTCGTTTTTTTTTGTGGTCATATTTGCTCTCATAGCGAAAAACCTACGAAAGAAACGGGAGTTGTTAAGTAGGAGTGATTGTTATTGTAATGCTTACTAATGCTATGTGATGTTTTTCTATTTATTCTGTGCACTATTCTTACGGGATCGAGATAAATCGATTTATTTGCCGAGGCAATCTGTGCATGTGTTACACATAATCACAGCGGTATGCTCATTTTTTGTGATAAACTTCTGGCAGTAGGTTTCTGTGGGAAAGCTCTAGTGGGCTTGGGTTTCATTGCTCTTGAGGTCTAATCCGCACTGAAACTCCACCACAACTCCTGACTTATCTTGGTGTGATATTGTTTCTTTACTATAGGTTAATTCGTCATTTAATTGCATCCTATATCAAAGACGAGAGGGGCGTGGCTGCGTTCTCCATTCGAACATGGCGTAGGATGCGTCTTTCCTAGAATATTTCAGTTTGGGACAACTAACATCTTTTTCTTGTGCTGGACAAAATTATGACTGCGGTACCACCGGGAGTAGATGCGCTAATGCATCCAGTCCACAGTTGTTTGTTCAAGAATATTTCTCCATTTTCATCTTCTAAAGTGGCTTTCACGGCGTTGTAACTGCAGTCAGATTCACTGCGGATGACAAGGCGTGTCCGCGCGGCTGCTTTTCCCACGCCGCCAAGTAATTCTCCGCCAGCTGTTTTAACTGGTAGTGACAGCTGAAGAAAAACGACTGATACTAACCAATCTGATCATCCTGTCGCTTGCCGAAAAAATGGGTTCGCCAACCGTAACCGCGCGGACACGCCCAATCATTCGCAGCAAGCCAGGCTATGAACTGGCCACTATACGAAGTGGCATTGGGATAGGCAAGTCAAGTCCGCGATCGTCACTTGGGGAAGGCTAGTTCTGAGGCTCACAGCTTGCTGACTCCGCCTACTCTGCCTTTAAAGGCAGAGTAGGCGAGTCAGCAAGCTGTGAGCCCCAAGACGAGTAGGATTAATACGCCTGGCAGGACGGAATTCCGCGACCCTGAGCAGGCGCTGCATAATGCCTTTTCCAAGGGAGGTGCCCTTATAAGGGCCCTATCAAGCCACAACATACCGACCCAAACGCCCGCCCGCCCACAAATGGACGACCGTTCCTGATGCTCGTATTGCTTCATTTGCTAAGCAAAACTATAAAGCGAAGGGATTGATATGAAGCAGCGGAGATGCTGCATGGATACAGTCCTCATCATTACGGACTGTCGGGGCGGCACAGCCGCGCTGCACTGTGACGCGACAGCGGCTGCGGCTCGGTGACGGTGAATCAGCTGATTTCGATGGAATTCGGCTGCAAATTCCCACTTTTTCAGCTCTTCAAGCTAAAGTGGAAGGTGAGTTATTCTGAACAATTTTGAATTGTACTGGCTCTGATTTCCTTTATTTTTATGTCGATTATTATGCTCTTTTCCTTGTATTTTGCCTTATTTCAGGCATTTATTCAAATGGCTTACATTCTTTCAGATTCATTCAGAGTCAGTACAATTTAAAATTGTTCAGAATAACTCACCTTCCACTTTAGAAGCTTGAAGAGTTGAAAAAGTGGGAATTCGCAGCCGAATTCCATGGAAATCAGCTGATTCACCGTCACCGAGCCGCAGCCGCTGTCGCGTCACATTGCAGCGCGGCTGTGCCGCCCCGACAGTCCGTAATGATGAGGACTGTATGTGAAACATAAGTGTAGCCGCACCTACCGTAGCGGTCACTGGCAAAATGCCTACGGGAAACTCGTCCGAAATTTTTTGAATCATTGAGAACGAAGGCTTCTTGGCAGGTTTTTGACCGTTTCACTTCGCTTTTTCGCCATTTTCCCAATGTATAGCGCCTTGCTAGAATCAGGTCGAGTACCAAATTATCGTGCCAACTGTCTTTAACACTACCCTGTAACATTTGTCACAATTCTGTTGTTCAGCGCAGCAGTATTCACTAAATGGATGAGTCTAGAGGACTTGGGTGTTTTGATCTGTTCAACGCAATAACAAGGCAATGTACAGCCAAATACTTGGTTGAGTTGAGAGAAGGAGCATGAGATTGGATGGATGGTTCCTCTTGCAGAAGCTGAATTTAAAACCTTTCTTTCATTCAAACTGTTCGTCTACTCCATTCGATTATCGGTTTCTTCGAAGAAGCTCTGGTGACCTCGTAGAAGCCTCGCACTTCCAAAAACAGTCTCTAATTGGCATGTGCGAGTCTCGCCGTCATTAGGAACTCGGAAACCTTGCCTGTTTTTTTGCTCCGAGTTAAGGGTGAGACTCGCACGTAAGATTTGAGACTCTTAGCTGCCAATATGAGGCACTTTTCGAAGGTGAGGTGAGCTTTTTGAGGTGAATGGAACTTCTCGTGGTGGGTGCTGCAAACGTAGCGGCTCAAATGCGCGAATTTTGAAAAAAAGATGGGCGAATTTCGAAAAAAGATCAAAAGAAAGACGTAAATGTGGACGTCAGAGGGGCGGGGAATGCAGTATTGTATATAGTGTAGTTCGCTGCGGACGGTTGGGCGTGTCAGTGCGGCTGCGTTTGGCGCGGTGCCAAACTCGTTCTCCACCAGTTGTTGAAGCGGGCAAGTGACAATACTCTTTTTTGTTCGTATTACGCGCGTTTTCAATTCAATAAAAAAAGCACAGAACGGTCTTGACGCTGTGCGCACTCATACTGGCTGACACGCCCAACCGTCCGCAGCGAACTAGACTATATACTCGAAATCCCTGAGATGTAGTAGGCGGGGCAGCGTGCTTCAACCAAACGTAGCGGTGGCTAAGCTGAGCTCTCTATTTTCATTTTGACAAAGTGGTAGTCGTCTCTCCCCAACACTGAACAAGATGACAGTTGTCTCGAAACTGAAGTACGCAACGAGTAACTCACTCCATACCATGTTCAAGAGCCGCACTTACTCTGTCTCAAGAATAAGGAGAGTATAGTGTGGCCTGTTCTAACCAAGTCGTGCATTTAGTTTGAAACGTAGTTAACTTGGTTCGGAAAGTCGTGAATTTGAAATGAAAATGGTATAGTATCAATGTTTTCTACACATTGCGAAAGGATGTAGTAATTGGATTCGGATCACTGTCATGCAGCTTGTGCGCTTACCGCGAGTTGGCAGGTGCGGAGTGTGATAGCGTTATTTTCGGCAAGCGCGACGGAAGAGGCGTTGCAAATGGGCGTGATTTGCGCAGCATTCGTACTAGGACCCAATCCACTTAACGTGGCAGTGCTGCGGCGCGTTGATTTTCTCCGTGTCTGTCTGATAAATGCTTAATAGCAAACTAGAGAGGGAAACGTGCGATGCCGCAGTCCGGAAATAACGTTATACACGCGCGAGATGTCACTCTCTTGACAGAGTGGTTGACAACAAAGACGTCATTTAGTTGACTGCTGCTGGACGTCTCTCCATTATTTTAGCGCTATGCTTTGTTCCTTACCCATTGTTGATGTTTTTTTCTCTGAAAGAGTGCTTTTGTGTTTCAGCTAGTTTACAATCCATTTACTGCAGGCCCACTCAAAACCAAGCGCTAAGAGTGCATCTCTTTCAAATGTCTGAAAAAGACTGATCGCGGGGCTTTTCATTTCCCGGCGGGCAGCTGCGGTAATTGCGCTAAACGGGAAGAGTACGCATAGATAATAAGGTTGGAAATTAAAAGCGCTCTTATCCCTCGTACACGTCAATCGAGTGCGAATGACATCGGACGGGCGGGCAGCCTGGGTCCTCTTCAACAAACCGCATTCCCTTTGCGAGCCTCCCACCTTAGCATTAGCATTCCAATCGACAACAATCATTTCTCGTCGAATATTTCCACCGGTGTGCTGCTGAATAACGGCGAACATTGTGCTCTCTTACTGGTCTTCATACTGTGGTGTGTCTCGATGTCCCAAAGGTCTTTGCCGTCTCTTATCGCTGTTCGTTGCCAGTACATTTATCAAGTGCTCGGCACCAGAGCGCCATGACTACCCCATTCTTCATCCAGTGTCGCTGGCTCCCGATACATGCCGAAAAGCGCTCATTTCTACTGCAATTCCTTGATGTGAATTTCCAACCGTTTAAAACTGGTTATCCAGAAGTCGCCCTCTTTTTGTTGTCGATTTACACACACCTCAAATTCTTACCACTCTCTGCTGCCTTCTCCCAACTTCTTTTCTGATAAGCTGATACTGTGTTCGCTCAAAAATGCGAATATCGAAAGGCCAGAGGACATCTGTACAGTTTTATTTCCTTGAAGAGGACGTTCACAAGAATCGAACTTCTGTACCACTAACAGGGTACCGTAACCCAAATTTGCCTCCGATAAATTGCAAATTTGTCGGGAGCGTACCCTAATACTGGAACTGACGCCACATATGTGCACTAGTCGTCCCTGTGCTTT